CATTAGCTTCATTATTCACTTTGCTCTTTAGCGAGTGACTTATCACCACATTGCAAATCCCCGCTGCTGCTCGAGGCAGAGGAGGAGGACAGCAACTGTGTGTTCACCAGTAAAAACTGCTTATGGTTGCCTGTCAGAAAGCAGGATAGTGCCTTCCCGCTCTATCTGCTCCTCTTTCGCAGGGTACATAAGGCACAGCACAGCCTGGGACCTCTCACACCAAAGGAAATTGGAGAAATGAGATGTCGGAAGCCCAGGAACCGTTCTTCCGAATGGAGCGCTCCACTACCAATGCGCAACGGAGCGACCTTTATTACATATATTTTTAAGAGGTTCGTTTTCTGTAAAGCAACTTGCCCAAGTCACACGATAGTAGCTCGGATACACGATGCCACGCTTAATACTCAATAAGCTCCAAGCGCGGAAGCTCTGGAAGAATAAAAAACCTGAGGAGTGAAGCAATGGAGCCTCAGGTTTCTCACGACCCAAGGGTAACAAACAGTGAGACAACCTCTCTCAAGCAGCCATCAGTTTACCCCAGAAATGGTTTGGGGCCACTTTTCACATCAGCTTCAGGTGAATCCCCGAGTGGCTCCACAGAAACTCTAAAGCATCTGAGGAGCCTGGAAAGCTGCTTCCACATCTCAGCCCGGTTCAGACTACTCCACCCCATGCCCAGGGAGGCAGCAGCCCATGGTTAGTCTAGACTAGAGCACCGTTCGCACTCCAGCTGCCACACAGAAACAGGCTAAAAAGCTGAAATTAAGCTAAGCCAGGGCAACTCCAACCCAAAGATACCTCCCCAGAGCCAGCAGGTCAAGGTCACGGCTCGTCAGCTAGAAGCTTGGGGACAACACCCTACCTGGCAGGTACAAAACAGCTTCAAACACAGCACCACGTCCCCCCGGCACGCTGCGCCCGCAGGAGCATGCGCCAGACCTAGTATTTCTTGAGCACCAGGGAGCAGAGAGCCCAGCACTCCTGAGGCTGCTGCTGGCATTAGGAGGAGAGCTTTAGTATTGCCCAAACGTGGCAAATCGGAGCAGGGCCTGGCTGCATCTCCTCCTGACCTTGCCTGGTCCCAGCTGTCACCTCTGGCAGGGTCCCCGCGCATGGGAAGGCAAGCTGAGGTCTCAGGCAGACTTTAGCTGTCCCCTGCTAGCTGCACGTGACAAGAGCAAGTTAGAAAAAACGAGCAGCCCTTAGGCTAGCAGGAAAAAGAAAAAAAAACAAGTCACATACATGCCCACTACACATCAGAGAAGTTTTAAAGATGGCTGAACACATTTAACTAGCCTGAAAGGCAGGTTCCTGCTCCTCCATCCACCAAACGCTCCCAGGGTCTCCATTTCAGGGGCTCTGACACTCGCCCGGCCTCCCAGCGAGCCAACTCACCTCAGCAATTGAGCAGCTTCCTGGTGGTTCCCCAGCTGAGCCCTTACGGAGGAGATAAGGAAAGTCTCGGAGCCAGGAAAAGTTAAGTTACAGGTGGATGGTAGCACCCCGCGCAGCAGCAAGTTGTTACATACTGCAGCTCCGCGCGCCGAACGGCCAAGAACGCCGCAGACAATGGGACGTTTATGATTCTTCTAAGAACTCAGGCCAAATGCGTGTTCTGCAGCGGCGTCTCCCACCCTCAACGTGCTTTCCAAGCACCACAATATAGTGCAACCTCCATCCCCCAGCCCGTCGGGGGGAAAGCAGGAGAGGAAACACCTGATTCCAAAACTGGCAGGTATTTGGCAAGCCAAATATTTCGGTATTGCTAAGAAAGAGCTATCTAGAATAGGCTTAAAGAAGAAATAAACGCAACTTACTGTGCAAGGAGGACAACAGATGACTACAGCAAGACCCAAGGAGCAGCCAGAGAGCACATGAGTCACGAGCACATTTTAGCAAGAGCTTACTCTAAGTATCACCACGCACTTTGAAAATTACTTAAAGCAGGACAGTGACACAGGGAGAGGAGCTGGAGGTACTTCTCCAAATAGCAGCCTCTTGTCTTGCTGGGAAACGAGGAGACTGGAGCTACCTCCCTCCTGAGCTACAGCATGATTTTGTGGGAGGCACTGAGAACTTTGGAAAAGCACTAAAGAAAGGCTTAGCCTTGAGATACCTAATGGAGACAACCTGAGTGTCTGTACTGGGCCTCAAAGTGCTTTCAGTACTAGGTGAGCATTATTTGCAGACCACATATCTCCTAAACAAGCAGATACTGCGAGCTCTGACACCTCACAGCCATTGCAGATTCTCAAGTAGGGACCCGTCCCCCAGTGCCCACAGCCAGAGGCCAGTGAAATTAATTCCTGAAGATCTTCTGTGCTGCTTTTTCTGCATTTGGATTCCTGAAGAACTGTTGCATCTTACCTGCACCGAGCACCCTGTTCATGCTTTTGGAGACACTAACTACATCAGCTGCTGCTTGTTCTGTACTTCGAGCTTAAGGTCGGGCTGTGCCTCAAGGCAAGAGGAGACTCTTGGAGCTGGCTTGGTCCTCCTGTACACACACCTCCACATCACAGCCACACAAAGCATGTGCTAAGGAAAATACTCTGGGGGGAAGGGAAAGTGCAGCTTTACTCTGATTTATCTGGACATAGAGCATGCTGAAGAAATGCAGAACAGTCACCAATAAAGCTGGTGGCTCAAACAGGGCCTGCAAGCCAGCAACAGTGCTCAGGAGATCCCTGATCTACAACACACACACAAGGCTCTCTGCCTCCTACCCACCTGTGGAGGCAACAGTTGACTTGTCTCAGAAGTATTAAATACCCAAAATGAGCCTACCAAAGAAACAAGACCCCAGAAGACCTCCGGTTAGGCAAGAAGCCTAGATGACAAGCAGAATTCAGAGCAGGATCAGCATGGCAGCACATCCACCAGACAGACTAGGCCCACACAGTGCACATTGCCCAAATAATGCAAATCCCCGAGGCAGCTTGATTCTTTTTCTCCCCAGAACAGTACAATTATGGAAACGTTAAAAAAATAAAATAAAATAAAAAAACTGTGAGATGGTCTCATGGCGTACAATAAAAAAAAAAAAAGGATCCATGGTTCTTCTAACGAAACTGCAGACGTGCACTGGGTTTTCAGTAAGTAAATGGAAATCATGCTGACATACAATTGTTCCACCCCCGGGTTCGCCTTCACACATTTCTCATGGGTCAATTTTAAAGAATCGAGTCTTGTTCAGCTAAACATCTGGTGGCTGTTGCTAGAGGAAACAGACTATCTGCAACAGGCGAGCCGAAATAATGAGTTACATAAAAGCAGGCGGTGTAAGCAGGAACAAGCATTTTGCCAGCACATGCATCTCCAGCATTACATGAAATACTATGCTTAATTTGAGGGTTCAAATACACTGTTACTGCTGAGATGCACACAGATGAAACTCAGAGATCCACATTCTCTAAGTCCATGAAAATAAAACTGTGCTGTGTTATAATCACCACGCTATAGCTAGTAGTTGTCCTAAAGATTTTTTGGAAACAGCTCTGCTAGGGAAAGGAGAATTACAGGTTAAAAGGAGACTGGAATTCAGCTCTAGGCATCTGCGTATTTATATCAAGTCAGTAGGAGCTGAGAAGCTATTGCAAGATGGTTTTGGTCATTTGGGTCAAGCAGGTAATTTTTTTCAGCAATACAGAGCACCTTTTCAGTCCCTGTCCTCTTTTCCTTGGGATTTATCAGGACTTGAGCCTGCCAATGGAGCCACTGAACTAAAGGCTCCACGTTGTGAGGAAAGCTGGTGGCTGAGCAGAAACTCTGAGGACATCACCATCTGAAGCCCTAAGCCCAAACCAGAAGCCCTGCAGGATTACGGATCTCTTCTCTGGGCGTTACAGACCGCGAAGCCCCCCACGAGGAGACACAGCATTCCTGAGAACATCTTAAGCAGCGTAACACTAATATACTGGAAATTGCACTTCACATTATGTACTTTTTCTACAAATAGATAGCACTGCTCTTTGAGGAGAGCTTGAGCACTTAAATAATCCAGAAGCCTGATGGATGACTAATACAACCAGAAAGCTCCGAGCACAGAAGGATATTTTCAGTAGCACTCACTCATCAGGACCAATCGCAACGTGCAGCCGGTGAACAGCAGAGGCACCCAAGGCTTTCACTGCCGTCTCCTTTCATGTTTTTCCCTCCAAAATACTCACTAAGACTTTGGTTGCAACTAGCTTCCTCCAGCAACCCACAGAAGGGAGAAGCCCACTCTTCAACCACCTCCCACTGCTTTGGTGGCAGTTATCTTCTACATGTCACCACTGCTCCAGCTCTATCTCGTATTACCGTGCAGTGAATCTATGGCTGTTTTGTAGAAATACATCAAAGCATCCTGGAGCAACTAAGCTAGATTTTTATTTTCAGTAGTAAAGTGTCCTACGTACTCCGCAGTCACCTAGGGTGTTACTCCCTTTGCTCTCAGCCCTGCAAAGACAGTTCTCTCAGTATCTTTGATTTTTAGTTTTCTGCTTATTTCATAACAAAGATAAAGCACTTCTAGAGAAGTGCTTCAATTCCTCATGAAAGACTCTGGACCTCTTCCCTACTTTATATCCCAACCAACTTCAATAATTTCCCTACTCAAGACACAAAACACATGCAGGCATCCTTGCAGTTACCTGGTTTCCAGTTCTCAGCACACGTTTCTACAACTAAAGCTAGGGAAATTCAATCAGCAGATGCAACCAGCACTAAGTTTCCAGAAAAAAATGTTCTGTTTTTAACCAGAAATAAAGCAAAACCAACACAGAATTGACAAAATGAATATGCTGGAATAGAAACAGGGAATAGAAATTGAGCAGCTTTCATTCAGATCCTTAAGCATCCTCTCGCAAGCTTCAAGGATGCTTTGTGTACTCCGGGTAGGTGCTACTGAATTTTATAGCACCTCCTCATATACTTTATATTATTATTTTTTATTAAAAGAATGAAAATGTGAGTTGCATGCCAAGACCTTCCAGAATCTCGAGTCAAACTCTACTCACCATATGTTTCGTAATTCACTTCTCTTCGTTATCCAAAGTCACAGCGTAAGCAAGTACTGGGGCACCAGAGCAGCACAGCAGCTAGCCAGTCATACCTGTAGCAATTTAAAAGAAAGAAAGAGAGAAAAAAGGCTTAGCAGAAAGTCTAAATGCAGCAGCTTCCATTCTTGCTTTACACTTTACAGAGAGCCAAACACCTCTTCCTATAGAAAGGTCTAGGATTTCTCCTTACCCCAAATCAAGACACAAGTTTTCATGCAAAAGACGACGGTGTTTTCTTAAAATATGGATGTTTCCAACTGCTCAGTGCTTCTGGGCTGTGTTTTCAGGAAGCTGCTCCCTCACCTTGGCAAACAGGTTCCCAAACCTGAACTCTCAAGTGCAGTGAGCCCTGGGCTGCCTACGTCTCCCGTGATGCTGCAGCCCTTTGGCCAGGAGGCAGCACAGGGGGGCGGGTTGTGTTTGCTCCTTTTCTCCCTGCTCCTCAAATAATATCCCGTAGGGCAGGAGAGGGCTCAAGCCCCTGTTCCTAAGGGGGAGTGCTCCATAACCCCGACACCAAGGCTGAACCAAAACAAAACCATTTCCAAGTGTTTCTGCAAAGGAACCATGCCCTGCACACCTGGATACTGGTTGCTTCATTCTCCATTCAAGACTTTGCCATTGAACTCTCTTTGGAGAGGTATGGACTGCTCAAACCAAAATAAATTAAAAACCAAGCAAATTTAAGACCTGAGCAGCCCTAGCAGCCACCTAGAAGACAGGTTTATGTGACCCGCTGAAATACCAAGTCAGACTCTAACGTCCTATAAGGAGCCTCAGATTGCCTAAGGGCATTCAAAGCCTATCCCTAAGCAAGGGCTTTCTTTCCTTCTTAATTTCCCAATTTTTTACAGCAGAAGTAAAAATTTAAGGGTCCATAATGCCCTTTGATATCACTGCTTCCCTAAGCATGTGGCGGGGAAGAGAAACACAGCCCCGTGCTCTGCATCAAGAAGAGTATCTTGCTGCCTTCTCCAACAGCAAGTACAGGACGCATCAAAATCCCCATCCCCAAGAGTCACCGCTTTGACCGAAGCGCGCAGGAATCTGGGTCTACCATTGCCCTGTAGTTCTATAAGCTTCTTGCTAGGCCAGTCCCAGTCACACACGCTCTCCCCGCGTTGCTCATCATGCCCTCCCGCGAGAAGCTGTAGGTTTGCTCAGCTGCAGCGTAAGAGCCTTTAAAAGGCTCTTCAAAAACAAGCTCGCAGCAGCCATCCTTATTAATCCTTGCCTTTAACTACCCGGCACCGATCCGTGAGGGAAGCCAGATGCTGGGGTAAGGAAAACGCATCACTTGGGGCTTCAGCTTGTGAGGTCTAAGCAACATTCATCCCTCCAAAACAGAAAGACGCCAGGCAGCTGAATACACCCCTCTGCATCAGGCTTCTTTTACAGCATTAAATAAAATTTCAGAGTTTGCCATCGAGTAAAACTAGATTATTTGACCCGGTCAAAGCAAGAAAGAACCAGCCAAACTTGCACCCAGCTAAACCACACACGAGCAACTACATTCACCTTCTCATTGACTTGACCAAGCAGCCCCAACAGAGCTTCTGGGCAAGGAACGGAAGGACCATCCCATCAACTGGACACTTCACGTACCTAAACGCTGAGCACTGTTCAGCCTGCAGAAGCTTGTTCTTTTTTCACCTTAAACACACCCCAGCACCACAGTTTGGGAGAGTGGGGGAGAAGCACTGCAGAGAAATGCCATCTTGGGAACTTTGGTCAAAAACGACCTCTGTTTATATAAATAACGACCTCCAAGAAGTACTGGCATCTGCAAACACAGCAGCTAAGCGGAAGAATCTATTTATAATATGCTCTAAATTACAATTATTTACTTAAGGAATAAAAAGCAAATAAATCATCTCAAGCTCTGCTAGGGTTAAGGCCTGGCGCCAGGAGCTACACATTATTCACGTTCTGCTCGAAGGCGAGAACACAAGCGCGTTACGGAAGAGTCAAGGTGCAGCTTAATCCACACCCTGCGTCAGTCCCTGCGACTTCCTGATGGCAAGGCCAAGCTGGAAAACTCCATGGTGCTTGGGAAAACCAACCTGCTAAGAGACCTTCCAACCCGCAGCAAACAGGACTCCTCCCCGGCCCTCCCGCGTTCCCACAACGGCAAGTTCTCAGGTGGGACTCCCAGACCTGCGAGAGCGTTGGAGGTTCACAAGAGGGATGGAGCTCCCTCACTGTGTCGCATTCTGACACCAAAGGCACTGGGCTCGTTCGGAAGCCCTGTCCGCTCCCAAGATCTCTCAAGCAAAGTGTGAGGGACCTCAGTGTAACGAGAAGGTCTTGGCTCATGATTGCAGCACACATTGGAGGAGCAACCTAGATGAGAGGCCAGAAACCTCGTTCAGCTGCAAACATGGCACGAAACAGAAAGCCAACCCTTGCAGCAATGGCCAGCGAGCACGGATAAGCAGACAACCCCGCTGATACACAAGTTATCACGGTAACAAGCTCCATTTTGTCTTATGTTTTCAGAAAGCTGTACAGCTTATGCTGAACAGAAGGGGCTTGTGCCTCTTCTCGGGGAGGAGGTGAAGAAGGTGGAGAGAGCTGTGCCAGCAAGAGGGAATGAGAATGAAGGAGGTAGTCTGAAACCAAGAGCAGCAAGAAAGATGTTTTCCAGCTTTTGACAGATAATTAGGTTTCTGCATGTTAATTAGCACCTCCAGCCACTTGGCCATTTCCTGTGACGCCCCCTTGACAGCACTGGCTAGGCCTTAGGGCTAGTGACACGTGTGCCAGGTTGAACTGCTCGGACCCCGGCGTCATACATTAGCATGCAAGGAATTCAGGATTGGGAAGCACCCAGGTCGCTTTGGCTTCCTTGGGAAAAAAGCAAAAATATTTTATAGAATGCCAAAAACGGAGGGATCTGAAGCACGTGGGGAGCCGGGCAGAGGCCCCCAGCACCTGGAGCCAGGACAGGCTCCTCTGCATCGTCGGCTCTAGCGAGGCAAAGGCCCCGGCCTGTCTCAGCGCGCTGCCCACAGGCAGATGAACACGATCACATGGACCAGGGCGCTCCGCAGGCAGCGCAGGCCCTACCCAGCTGTCAGCGAGAGAAAAAGGCCACACCACAAGCTCCAAGTTTTGCTAGATGTTTTTTTTTTTCCCCCCATTATTTTTCAAAGCTGGGATGAGAAGGGAAGCCAGCTTTTGAGCTCGCTTTAGTTGTAACAGAGTAAAAACTAGTGTCCCTGAAGGCAACTCATGAATAGATAATATTTGCTACCTTTGAGTACACAAGCGGATCTTTCATCTCCTCGGGGAGCCGGGCGGATCTGTGCCAGTCAGAACAGAGCAGGGATTTCCAGAGACGGATCCAGCAGACAGAGTGCTCTCTCGTTTCGGCAGAGGCTGCAGATACTTTCTGGCTCCCAAAGGAAGACGGATCTTCTGTCATAGCAGGGAAGATGACTCTACAAAGCCCTTCCTTATTAGCTCTCTCGGGAAGCCGGTCCGCAGACAGTTTGGAGGTTTTTTGCACTTCATCTTATTATTTTATTACCAGAAAGGAGCACAAAACTCTGAATAGTGCTTAGAAAAACTCTGTATTTAGCCTTGGGGCTCTTATAATGATACCAAATGAAAGCAATGCAGCACGAGCAAGACAAATCCAACCCAGAGGACGTTTCTGCACCTCAAAGCCTTCACACAACGGTAAGAACAGCATCAAACGCGGGAGCACAGCAGCAGCCCGGCGCGATGCTCCATGCTCACCCCAGGCCAACAATGAGGAGTCTGTTCGGCTGCGTCCATGGTTGGGATGGGCTCTCCAGAAGCCAACGCAGTCGCTCTTCAAACGGGCCTCTGTGAGCCTTGGCTCCCGCGCCGGGCACGTCAGCGCATTGGAAGTCGCGGCGTTCTGCGCCCATATGGAGAAATGAGGTCTCTGAAGACTGTCTCTGGCGCACCAGGAAGGCCTCTCAGGAGAGCGCGGCACCATCACACAGTTTGGGCATAATTCCTGGGCTCTAGTACTATTCCAAGGGAAAGACTCAACCATTTTAAATCTCTGCCCATACAGAGGTTTCTCTTCCCTATGGGAAGCCGGCGTTTCCCTCAACGATGGAGCCACATGAACAGTCTCAAGGAAAACACCATGTTCTTCAGCTTCATCCCACCACCCAGTACTTCAGTCTCCTCCTCATACAGATAATTAGCCAGAAGTGTTACCCAAAAAAGTCTGAAACACTTAAAATAACAAAGACAACTGCCCCCCAAAATAAATATATTTTCAAACTTTAAAAGGTATTAACAGTATGAAAGACTCCAGAGATCTAAAGCACCTTTAGAGGCAGTGGGGAAGCCAGCAAGAGCCCTGTACTACTGAAGTCTGAGCCCAAAAAGGCAACTTGGTCAAAAGCAACTATCAGATGAGTTTGTAAAGTGAAGTATTTCTCTATATATCCTGCCAATATACAAGGAATGTCTTGATGGAGGGGGCAAAATTGGCATGGCAATTCAGAGAGTTCACCAAATTTAAGCTGCATGTTATGTGCAAAAGGGTGAGGAAGGAGCAAGGAAGGACCACCTAAACCACACGGCTTCACATGCATTCCTTCTCAAAACTACCGCCACGTTAAGACAGCTCTTAAGCCCCTTGGCCTTTTTCCCACCACGTGTTTGCTAACAGAACAATCGCACCGGACGCTTGCTTTAAATACTCATTTTATCATCTTCTCTGGGATGGGTTGCCTGATCTGCTTCATCCCACCATCTTACAAGAAGGTAGGATCAACCCAGCCAAGGACTACGGAGGGCTGAGAACCCACGTTAGCAAGGAAGCTGCTAGGTATGTGACCATACCCCGAACGGAACCTAAGAAAAAGACCCATCTGGCTTAGTCTCTTGTTTGAAAGCATAAGTAGGTGCAGGGAAAGAAAAATCACCTCACAGCAAAGCAAAGCAAACAAGCTTCTTACGAGGCTTCCTCCAGAGAAAGAGGACTACCAACGAAGTAGTGTTGATTAATGGCCTGGGGATGCTGCATGTTCAGAGAGAAGGACTGAAAAGG